GATTCCAATCTGACGTAAAAATTCAATCAAATTATAAATTTCTTATCAATAAAATTCAATAATTACGACATTATAACAATTTCAAAATGATTATTTAATTAGATTATTTAAATTGAAATATGTCTATTGTAATATAAATAATAATATAACGATATCTTTAAGAAATATATTTACTTATCGGGTTGCGTGCTAGTCATCGGTAAAACAACCTTATCTACAAAGCTGCCAAAGCCAATGCGGAAATTTGATGTGAGCTTTTGCATGGCTTTGGCTAACTGCAGACCGAGTTTTGATAATTTGTTTCTATATGGCTCCATAGAGGCCGATAGATCCATAAGATAATATAAATCCACAGGATAATCTTCCGCCTGACTATATTTCATGGTTACGCGATATTCTTCCCCTGTAAATAATTTATTCAATTTCTTTATTCTTGAATTATAAGTTATTTAAATTATGTGTAATATTAAATAATTATATCAGAAATATATTACATTGAAAAATATAGCATTTTGTGTAATTTATAATTATTGTATTATATACATTATGAGTGTACAGAATGTTCTTCCATTGACAATTTCTATGCAACATTCTAAGACGAAAATTTTTATACGAAAATGTTGAAGCTAATAGTTTAAAAATGAAAAGAGTTTAGTGTTGACTAATCTACACTAATGTCCTTATACTCGCTTTCTAAATATTAATATAATCGAATTCGAAGTTGAAGATAAAATTGGAGCTGGAGTTGGAGATGAAACTGAAGCTATAGCTGGAACTCTAAAAATTCTTTGCTGCAATTTTAGACACAACTTTAGCTCCAGTTCCATCTCCAGTTTCAACTCCAATTATATCAATGCTTAAATAACAAGTCAATAGCAAGTATGTACAAGAGCGTATCCATTATTATGCGATTTGCCATGCATCAATTTTCCGCAAACTGTTTGGTCAACTTTAAACGCTTCCCATTTAAAAACTATTATACATTTTCGTATAAAAATTTTTTGTTTTTAGAATGTATGTGTGTGTTCTACAATTCTACAGAATTTGTCTGTGAAAAAAACACCCGATAATTTTAAGATAATCTGTATATCTTGTAAAATTTTATATGTATATTTTTGAATAACAATAATTACTTTATTGTAAATTCTGAAAGAACTTTGTGTCTCAATAATGCAAATTGTAAATTAACACACATTTTATGCTTAACATTTGTTTATATAGTATGTGTATATTATTTCAAAATAGAAATCTAAAACATTAAATCTTGATAAAATCTCTCTCTCACCTAACCTGAGACGTAAACGTATCCTCTGGGGTTGAACTTGAACGGGATCTTTACCCTTGATTGAGGACAACTGTCGATTTTCCAGGATATCCATCATATTCTCATCATTTATCACAGCTGATGGTTGACACCAAAAATTGCCTTCTTTCAAATACGTTTGTTTGGACACGCAACGCAACAAAGGAGCACTTACATTTTGTGTAGATGCCTTATAAAACCGCAAACAAAAAATGATTTACCAAAATTATTATCCACACACATTACAGCTTAAAAAGTTATTAAAATTAATAACACGTTTAAATTAAAAAAATTTTCTATGCACTTAATGTGCAACGAGAGATATAAAAAAAATTCACACTTTGTTAACGTTTATTAATTCTTATTCAAGTATTTCAGGTAGTAAGCAGATGTTATTTATCTTCATTTTAATATAACGTCTAAACGCATGTATCAATTGTATACTTTTAAGACATAAAATAGTAAAAAAAAGGATATAATATAAGATAAATCTTCAAAATAACAAATAATATCAGTTTACTATTTGAAATCATGAAATCGACATTTCCTTTTTTATTCGCATGACGCACAAAAAACTTTATTTGATCTATGACATTTGTATATATCGAGAGAATGATTATACATTACGGATAATAAATTTCCGATACATGTAACTAGAAATTCATTCACAAGGAAGTAAATACAGAATCTCAGAAAAAATTTCGATATTTTCCTAATTTATCAAAATTATTTTTAAGTAAAAAATTTTTTAAATAAAATTACTAAAGCTTTAGCTTCCTCTTATAATTAATTTTTATGCCTTTTTAAGAAATTTGTTATCATTTCAAGAGTAATTTTTTTTAGGCAAGTTGCAAATACATCACTTTTACATCACATAAATATGATTACAAAATTATTACAAATTCAATAGTTGATATATTACAATTTTAATTATTTTATATTTATATGTTTTAGTATATCTATTATTATTTTTAAAATCTACTTCATTTTACACCATCAATTTAGCCATATATGAAAGAAATAAACTTCAGTCTATTTTTATTATATTTAATATCTATTTAATTATTATTTTTATATCTAATATTCATTTTATATAATAAATAATAAAATTTATAATATTTGAATTATAATATATTATAAACTAATATTAAAAAATTAATTTTCTTTTTCTTTTAACTTAATAAATCAAATATTTTATTAAAATGTAAGGTTCTCAGAAGCAGATCCTCTAAATTTTTTCTCACAGAGTACGTCGAGTTCGTGTATATTCCATTCAACTAGGCGCGAGTGATTATTTTCTCTTCCGGATCCTACTTAGATATCGGAGAACCGATAGAAGTGACGAAAGGAACGTTTTCGTATTAAGCGCGCACGAGTCATGCAAAACAATCATGCAGTGCAATTGCATGAGTTCACTCGGCGTATGAATCACCGGCGGCGAAACGCGAAACGTCGTCGGCCCGTCATAATAAGTAGTTGCGATGCAGGTGCGCGCTTCTTCCGACGCCTTCTCCCGCAGATCTCCTCTCCCTTTCTCTCACCGCGTGTCATCTCTAGCGGAGTATACCGCTCGTTAACGACGCTTATAAATATTCATTACCGTCATGGAGCACCAGACGCATCGCGGCGTTTGCAGGCAGCTCGCGCAAGTCTGCCGGGACTCGCAGAGACTCTCTCGATCGCGATACTGCGAGACCGCGGCCACGAAGAGGTGAGCCGTCACGAGAGAAAGATAGACGATGATCGTCGTCCACCGTGCCATCGTTCCCTTCGAACGTCGAACGTTTTACTTTTAACGCGAACGGGCGAGTCGCCGGCACGAACACTCGCGATCCGGAAGGATACTGCGGCATCCCGCGGAAATGACTCCAAGATAAAACGCGTCATAGTAATACGCGTGATTAAGTAATCGTTTGTTCTCTCCACCTTCGACAATTTTTCCTGGAACCAGTGATCGGGTTCCTCGAGACATAGGCGAGTTCGTTGGGGGTGCGGCATAGAACGATGATGAATTTGATTTAATCAAATTTTAATTTAATTGAGAACTTCACGTTTAGTTTAAACACGAGCATCTTGTAACAAAAACAGATGAATGATGTATAATGAAGTTTAATAAGCATGCTCGTAATGAACGGTTCGGAAGAACTATGAAGAAGAGATGAAGAAGCTTGCGTATACACAAAAAAATAATGTATGTTCTAATTAAAATAAACTTGTTAATTTAATAGCAATGTTAATGAAACAAATAATTACATTTCCCGATATTGTTATTAAATTAAAAACATTTTTAATTAGAATGCTGTTAGCTAACGCTGTTGATATGTCATTTTTTCCTATTTAGAGTTATCGCTGAACTATTTAGAGTTATATTGTTTACATTTAGTATTTACAAATAATCTGCAGTAAGGTCACACATGAAGTATGAAGTACAACAAACAGCTGCGTGAAATCGATTATACCATGTAACGAGAATTATTGAAATACAGAACAGTTTATAATTTAAAAACAAAATCAAATATGACAAATATTTATACGGAGTTTCTTTATTATTCTTATGCTTCCCCAATTTATCCCTGAAATTATGCCACCGTATTTAAAAAATCTTAATTGTATATAATAAATAAATAATTAATTTTCTATTAAATTTTAATTTAAATAATTATATTAAATTTTATAATAAATAAAGAAATAATTTTTAAGAAACTTAATTACATATAATAAGTAAATAAATGCATTTCTTTTATATTGAACATAAAGCATATATAAAATATTCTGAATCATACAATGATCTTACGTCATATATATTATATATACATATAGTCATACAATGAACGTTAGTTAGGAATTTATTTGATATTTTAAAAAGGTGAGTTTGGCGCCATCTACCCTTTTTCAATGAATTATTCGTGTAAAAATTTGAAAATTTTCCGATAGATGGCGGGCAAGAAGAAAAACAAGATAGATAATTTCGTTTATTGGCCAGTAACAGGTACATAAATAGCCATTTTACAATCATTTGCGGTGTTACAGATAGATGGCGTAATTTCTAGAAGAAACTTAAAAGTATATAAACAAAATTAAAAGATATATAAACAAAATTTAACAGTTATTCTGACGCCATCTAGCATTACAAAAATGAATTGTCCTTGTTCAGCTTCATCAAATTTTCAATAGATGGTATCTCAAGGGAAAAACAAAAATTGACATGTATTGACATTTTTCAACAACCTGTATTAATTCATGAATCATCAAATTTTTATAGTTTACTACGTTATTTAAAATGAAATAAATATGTAATTCAATGTCGAAGAAAAAATGAAGAGTACAAAAAGTTCAGTCACGCGCATAAAAGGAATAAATCTAAAATATTACTTTATTTCTTTTCTTTTTCAAACTTCGTGATATATTTTATATATTTTAACGATAAATTGAGTCCTTTTGCTGATTATATGTTACAAAACAAATGTTAATTTTATCATAATTTATCGATTCTCATAGCGTTTCGTTCATGTAGTCCTTCTTTACACCACCAAAATTTTGTAAAGTCTTCAAAATAAATCTCCCGATGTTACGTTTATCCTTCATGTATTAATTTTCTAGAATGTAAGAATCTATCTTTATTTCTTTGCTACAACGATAAGGTGCGTTACTACCGTTACAACTCTATTACATTTTTGGAATTCCCGCTCCAGAATAAGTTTCTCGAACCTGTCGAGCGACCCCGCTTCCATGAACAGGAACTGTCGTCGTCAAGTCTGGTCAAGTCTCAATTGCGTATGCTCCTCAAAGACACGGTAATTCTTCATTATTCGTACACACTTGTATGTAATACGTGACGGAGAGTGCATGTTCTTAATTGGATTCTCCGACAAGTTTGACAGATGACCGACTGTCAACGTCCAACAAGTTTAACAAAGTGAGGACTGAGGAAAATAAGCCGACATGGAGGCAGTGCCGAGATTGCCGATGATATGGTTCCAACTAAAAGTCAGTCCAGAGCCGACTACTTTTGGTCCGAAGCTCAAACAGGTACGAACCTCGCGAGTCTCTTTTTACTTTTATATCTAATTAGTCAATCTTCATTATACGTTTCACCGTTGCAAATCCGTTGTTTGCGTAGAATGTCGAAGTGATAAGAACAACTTGTCACCATCGTCGTCTCTTGAATGTCTCTGCGGTTTTGCTTTCCTTGTATATTGTTTTTCTTTCTTCTTTCAGTACATACAAGATTTTTACAATGAAGAACCTGAGTCGTATAACAGTGAAATACAGCAGTTGGAAAATTTACGCTCGATGGCAGTTAGAGCACCACTCGACATGGCTGGATGTACGCTGTTAAAGAAATATTATTGCCAGTTGCATTTTCTCCAAAGCAGATTTCCCATGTACAAAGACGGTCCTGCTGCGGTTACATTTACATGGTATAAAAAATCCTATATTTTCTATTATACTTTATGAATATTAATTATCTAACATTTATCTAATTGTATATAAATTGGTGATCATGAATTTGTTTCTCTTAAATTGTACAATGTTTCTTGTAGTAGAGACGTTTATGTTTAATTTTTTAGGAAAGATGCTCAGATTTAGTTAAATTGCATATGAATTGATAACCATGGATTTGTTTCTCTTAAACCATATGTTTTTTTTTTTAGGAGAGACGCTTATGCAAACTTGGTGTGTTCATTGGGAAGCATTCGTTTTGAGATTATATCGATTTTATACAATATTGGAGCAATGCACACCCAGTTGGGCGCACGGGCGGAAAGAAACAGTGCGGACGGAATGAAAATGGCATGTACTCATTTCCAATGTGCAGCATGGGCGTTCGAGCACCTGAAAAATAGTTTTCCTCAACCGTCTGGTATTGATCTATCACCAGAATTAATGACATTTATGCATCAGCTTTCCTTAGCACAAGCTCAAGAGTGTATATTGGAAAAGAGTATGTTGGATAATCGTAAGCCAACAATTGTAGGTATGTTTCATCAACTATCAGTTTTATAAATCAATTGTTATAGTAACAACTGTTTAGCTCTGTCTGTCATTGTACAAGATTTATATATTATGTAGCAAAAGTTGCAAAACAAATAGTAGATTACTTTACTATGGCCCTAACCACGTTGGAGCAAGGCGGAGGTGAAGATGGAACTATATCTGATACCGTGGGTAGTAAAATCTATAAGGTGAGGCAAATTATAATTTATATACTTGAGTTACTTTATATGTTTTTATGAATGTGAATATAGTTTTATAAAATGAAATTAAGTAATTAATCTAAATTTTTTGCAGAGCTGGAAACGCTATGTCAAATTTAAAAAAGCGTACCACATGGCTGTTACGTATCTTTATCAAGGCCTTGCTGCGGAGGAACAAAGAAAAATGGGAGAGCGAGTAGCTTTTTATAATGCTGCGTTAGCATCTCTTAACGAGGCACATATGATTTACGATTCTGCAAACGTTAAAGAAGAAAAAGCCGCAGTGGAAGAATCGCTCACATTTACCAATGATGTAATCGAAGGCAAGAGAAAAGCCGCTAAAAATGAGAACGATTTTATTTATCACGAAGAAGTGCCTGAAAAAGAAAGCCTTCCTACAGTAAGAGGCGCGTCTTTAGTTAAAGGAATATCGTTTAACATAAATGACCCAGAGGTATCAGGACAAGATATATTTGCAAGGTAATTATATTTTGTATTTAATTTCTTTTTATTATATTTATATATAATAGTTTAATTCTTTATTCTTAAGTTAAAACAATATAAATAACAAAATAATTTTTTTCTATTGTATTTTTCTTTAGTGTAGAATATTGTAAATTCCTCTTTAGGAGTTTAATATTAATATTTCCTTTCACAGATTTGTTCCTATGAAAGTACACGAAGCTAATTCTCTTTATTCGGAAGAAAAAGCCAAAATATTACGTTTTATCGGAGCAAAGATTGATGAAAAAGATCAATATCTTAATACTTATCTTACTTCATTGAAGCTAGAACATATGAATTTCTGGGATTCTGATACACAAGCTTCGGAGTGGGAATGCTTACCTCTCCCGGAAGAATTACTCGAACGATGTGCTGCACTTAATGCAAAACAACATGTTATTCAAGATTTAGTAGATATTATGGGAAAATTATCTGAAACAAGCCAAGATGTAGAAAAAGTATTAAAAGAAATATCAAAATTTTTATTGGAAGAGGAACAAAAGTATGAATTAATCATCTTTTGCTCTTGTTGAAAGTTTTAAGCCTTTAATGTTATTGGCTGCATTTAGCAAAAAAAGCAGCTTTACATTTGTTGTAAAAATCTTTAATATGATTGATCTCGTTTTTAGTTTTACTAGATCTAAATATATATACCAAATGTATATACACAAATGTATAAACCAATCATATTAAAAAATCTTACAACTGTAAAACTGCTTTTCCTGCCGAATGCAACTATTGACTATTTAATTACAGTTAGAAAATAAATTTTATTAAAAGCTTCTGAGAGTAATCAAGCCCTTCATAAAGCGGTAACAATGCATGTAAAAAATTTAAAAATTCTCGCGCAGCCATTAGCTGATTTAATGGCCCAAATTCCTTCACCAAATGTTTGCCTTGCAGGTAATTTTCATAAAAATTTCTTATGTATAATAATATTTATATATTATTAATATACAATAAATTATAATTTAAATAACTTATTAAATTCAAGTTTAGCAAATGAATTTATTCTTTCAATACTTTTAGATCAAGGTTCCGAAAAATCGCAAGCTAAAGAAATAGAGAAAATGCAGACTAAAGAGTTGAAACGTGTTTTAAGTAAAGTAGACGAAATGCGAATGCAGAGACTTGATTTGCTTACTAAATTACGAGATCAAATTGTTCAAGATGATTTAACGCGCTTACTGGTCACGGCTACGTCTGAATCTGTCTCTCTGGATCGTTTATTTGCGGACCAACTTAACAAGCATCAAAGCTTGGTTAGTAAAATTTCACGTAAATTATTTCATATTTTCTAATATGTAAAGATTGAATAAAAGAGTTATAATATTGGATTGCAGGTAAGCTTGATAGAACAAAATCTTGCTGCACAAGATAATATATTAGCAGCTTTAACGGACGCGTATGCACAGACTGCTAATGTACGTAAAAGTGTGGAGGAAGTATTGAAACGGAGAGAAATGACCATATCTTCTTTAATCAATTCTTATGACGCGTATGAGGATTTGTTAGCGAAATCGAGCAAAGGCTTAGAATTTTATAGGAAATTAGAAATAAATGTTTCAAAGCTGTTACAGCGAGTTAAAAGTACATGCAAAGTGCAAGAAGAAGAACGAGAGCAAATACTTGCACAGGACAATAAGAATACGTACGAGAAAGTTGACGCAACAATACCATCGACTTACGATCAAGCACGTCCTCGATCAGGTAATGGCCTGAAGCTGAAGGATTACTTGAACAGCAGAGCGGAAGGCGGCACCGGTTATCAAAATCCATATTATAATTTATACAAAGGGCATGTTGCATCGATGCAAATGGATTCGAAATCATTGACAACTGACATGGGAAATAAAAATGTAATTCAATCTCCAAGTACAATACCCGTATCGGAAATTCCGTCCTCGGCTGTGAAGTCATCACAACATTATTATCCTGCAACGTACGCTGATTATAGAGCAAGCTCTCCATATCCGTATGGTACACAGACTTATTATGAAAATCCGGTTGCTAATAGCATCTTAAGTCAGAATTACTTGCCGACTGCTACGAACACTACGAATGTGTATCAACAACCAACTCTATCCACGTCAACTGCAGGCGCATCTAATTCGAGTGTACAATATCCTGCTAGTTCCTATCTACCTAATGGACAAACTCTACCTGCAGCCACCAGCCAAGACAAATTCCACGACGTCTCTTCTAATTACAATGTTTCCAATACTTTGCAGTATGACGCTTATCAATCGCCAACGGGATATAACAGCTATAACATTGCAACACCGTACGTTCCCAATCAAGAGAAAGTTACAGTTAAGAACGGAACGGCTGAGACGTCCACGCATATTCAACCAGTACCGCAAATGCCTGTCTCTACTATCGGAGATGCAGTAGCGAGCAGCACCATGTCGATGATCGATGGTCAAGGGCAAGCTTCTTACAACATTGTGCAACAAACTCAGCTATATAATAATCAACAAAAGACAACTTTAAATCAAGAAATGTTTCACAGCCCAAACGCTGTTAGATCTCAAGAAACGATGCTAGCAAAGGACAATACATTGACGCAGAATTATTCACTCCCTCAGACTGCTCACTCCGAAATCACGTATTCGCAAAACTATCAAAATACTACGTATTACAATCCAACGGAACTGCAAGCTCAGCATGTCCCATATACTCAAAGTACATACGACACAGCTGTCGTTCCTCCAACGCAATATATGCAATCGCCGCAACCGAGTACGAGCAATCAATCTGTACATTCTGTACCATCAACAAATGAAGCCTCAGGATCATATTCTCCGAGTTTACACGGTGTTAATCCTGTCCAGTATTCGCAACAGACCGGTACAGAGCCGAGTAAGCAGAATTACACGAATAAGACGTATGCCGCATATGGCACACAAGTGCAAATGAACACTGTGGCTTCAAATTATCCAAATACTTATCAGAATTATCAGCATGGTACCACTGGTGCGCCATACGAACAGACCAGCATGCTACCTGGGGACGCGTCCAGCACGTATGCCTACATAAATAGCTCGAGTAGCTCGGAAATAATACAGAGCCATGCAAAACCGACGACGGTGCAAAGTTACTCACAATCGTATCAATATTCGCAGCAAGTTCCTTATTCGGGATATGTGCAGTATCCAAATTATTCGCAAGATCAAAATTATGCCTACATGCAAAACGCACATGGAGGCAATACAATGGCATATACGTATAATCCTGCTAATCAGGCGCAGGGCTATACTTATGCATCTAATCCTCAAGGTACACAGACTTCTCAGACATTGGAGGCGACGGTTTCAGTAACATCCTCTGATGTTACGGCTAGTGGCATTTATCAGCAGCAAGAGATAAATGCAAGATACACGAACGCGGGCAATAATGCTGTGGTTAGTCAAACACTATCCTCGCAATACAGTCAAGTTTATCAATCTCAAACAGGAAACGATACGTATTATACCACGCCTTATGGTCTTCAAATGCAGGGTCAAGGTATATTACATCTTTCTAATATCGATATTGTGTTTATTTATGTGTAGAGTTATATTGTCATTTTAGATCATTTTGTTTCAGCTGGTTCAGTAACAAGACCTGAAAATTACACTAATTATAATCAGACGTACATGCAAGCCGTCAACAATGGAACGAACACAACAACAAGTGCTAATCCGATGAAGCTCACTACCAAATCCGAGGAACCGAAATCGAACGTCGATCTTCTTTCTGACCTCGACATTACTATAAATCATGCACCTCTTGTGCCAGAAGTACGACCTCTTTCTACAGTACAGAAAAAAGAGGAAGCAATAACAGCTGACACCACGGAAGATGATAAGACAGAAAAAAGCGAGCAAGGTAAATCTTATAAAACTGAACAAGAAGTTACAATTCCCACTGAAGACAAAAATGATCACGAGAACTTACAAATTGTATGGGATACGTGGTACAATGATGTTCAACCGAAAAAAGATCCGCTAGGAGAACCAGCAGCATTACAAAAGTTCATTAATGACGTTGAAAAATATGAAAAATTTGTAGATAGTTTACTCGTAAAAACTTTAAGTGGAGCAACAAATCTTGATATCAAATGGAAAGAAGTTCAGGATTTCGAAGTAAGTTTAAAATAAATTTCGTTAATATTCTACTTGCCACATAATCAAGTGAAGAACATATTTTTAGAATGTACGTAAATAAGTTCAAATTCATAAAAATCTTTTCTTTTTTAGGAACGAGAAAATGGAAAACAATCAAGCACTGTAGCGTTAGCTCACTCGTCTGAAAATCGAACAATTGATTGTATTCCATATGATACGACACGAGTGCAAATATCGTCATCGGATGTTTCATTATACATAAATGCATCTCACATTATGGAAATCACGCAGTGGATACCTACAGCATTTATTATAACTCAAACACCTTTAATAAATAAATTAGACGTTTTTTGGACGATGGTCTGGGAACAAGAGAGTGAAGTTATTGCATGCTTAGCATCTGATGCTCAGGTTTGTATCTATATAAAAATAATAATATATATTCTGTAACATACAATTAAGAAACTGAAAAATGCTATATATTGACATTTTTCATATAAATTATATTTTTTTTATTACAACACTTTTAAATTTGCATACTCTAATAATAATCTTTCTTTGTAGTTGAATGGAGAATTATATTGGCCCATAAGTGAAGAGGACAACTTAGATGTAGGAAATTTTACTGTTTCACTAAAAAAGATAGTTAATCATACAACTTATATTCAAAGAACTCTTTCTATTCAACATAATAAAAAGAAATTTGAGAGAGTTATTGTACACATGCAATTTCTTGTGTGGCCTTCAAAGTAAGTTAACTCTGTAATTGAAATACTTTGTACTAAATACTATATACTAAAAGTACACGTACAGTGGTTAATACATCTAACTTTTTCAGTGGTTTTCCCAGTAGTCCCGGTGCTATACTTGCATTTTCAAGCGATGTAATGACAGAGCAGGCATTAAGACGTTGTTCTCCTAAGCCGGTAATTGTACATTGTTTAGATGGCGGTTCGTTGAGCAGTCTATTTTTAGTGGCCGCTGCGACTGTATGTCACATACGAGCTGATTGTGGAATCGTAGATGTACCATTGGTTTTTAAAGGCCTTGCGAAATGTCGCAAACAAGTCGTAAATAAGGAATCATTATTATTTGCATACAGACTCGTATTGTACCACGCTCAGGACATCTTAATGAAACGTAAGTGAAATAATTTCTCATGATACCTTCAATGAAACAGTTTCAGTAATATATTGTTTCATCTCAGGCGGTATTTTATCTTCTACTCGAGCCACATTTGACAATTTGGATGGATTCAAAGGGAACAAGGAAAAAACATCGCGAAAATTACAATGCCATCCTTCGGATGATTTTCTTCATAATCTCGGGGTAGGAATGCAACGTCCTGATTCTGAACAATCAGGTATGCAATTATCAAAAATATTGTAAATTGATTTTAATATTAGTTTCAAGCAAACAACTTGTCGAGCATCAGTAGTTATTCAATTTTTTAAAATTTCCAAATTTTTTTATTTTAGGGAAAACACAAACAATTTTAACAAGCGATAGCACGTCGAGTAAAAGTTCAGCGTCACAAGAAAAATCTAATGGCAGAGTCATTGATCCCTTGAGTCAATTGGATCCTTTGTGGTCCATCAGAAGATAATTACACAACGCTAGGAATGTAAATTCCACAATGCAGCTTTAAACGATTATTTAAACGAAATAGGCATTCCTATCTTTGTTAAAGTGATTGAAAATATTGAGCTAGAATTTTTAAAATAGCTTGTATAAATAATGTTATAATATATATGGAAGAGTAACACAATGCATCTAAATTAGCCTTGAAATAAAAGACATTTATTCAAGTATTTGTGTGCTAATCCTTTTAACAGTTTTACTGTCTGTTAAATATATAGAATAAAAAATATAAAACATATGCCTTCTATTTGTTCATTTTTCATGTTTATACATTTCAATTGGCCTAAATAATGCAATCTAATTGCATTACTTCGTTTATACTCGCTATATTTAGGCTGTAATGTATAATTAAGTAAGTAAATATAACATAACTTGTATTTCTTTAGCGTTGTAATATAATTGATTTAATATTCTTGACTGTACTTGTGTGTTTCCATAAGAAATAATTATATAAACTTTATGACATATTCGTTTCCAACGTAATTCATTCACAGATAACGAAGATACTTTAAACCAGTGATGCACAATCTGCGGCACACCGGAAATAAAAAAAATATAAAAATCATATTTTATACAAACAAAATAAATATTATACCCATAATATTTTATCTATTTCTGAAAATAACTTTCTAAAAATGAAATTCTTAAAAAAGATTGCACATCACTGCTTTAGACAATATAATCGTTTGACAATTATAGCGCATTGAATGCGAAATATTTATTATAGAGAAACAACTCTTCTATATTTAAAGCATAGGCATATGCTAACGTTCATAAACAAATGTAGTATTCTAATAATCATCATGTTACAATATTATGTATGATGGTTTTTAAGGATGCTGCCGAAATATGTATTAAATATCTTTCAAAATTCTAATAAATTGCGTACAGCAATATTTATATCAATGCTATTGTATATCTTCACATTTCATTTATAAAAATTTCAGTTACAATGCGATGCAATAATACATATATATATGTATTAGTTTCCGCAGTGACTGTCGCGAAACTCACATAACTGAACGTTAATATAAAAAGATTTTTGTCTATGCAGTACCAGTATCAGATTACTTTAAGCCCCTCTGTTTCGTAGATCTTTCACTTTGTAAATTCGCACAAGCCAATGTTCCGTCGTATATGCTTCTTCCAATGTATTTAATTCAAAATCTTTGTTTCCAATCTCCATATTCCTTACTCTGTCATAACCTGAAGGCTTGCCTATTTAAAAAGTTAAATGACATAAGTACAATTACAAAACTAGTATATGAACTATAGTTTCAATAAAGCAAAGAAATCTTACCGCCTTCGGTATAGACTTGGCCAAATCTGTAATAACACATTTTGTACATGAGACAATTGAGCAAAATTGGAGATCCCTCCTTATCTACTCGGAATTCGCCTGCGGAGTTATAATAATCCCACTCGGTTATGGACTTTCCTTTTTCCGTACTGCCACCAATACGCACCATCCATAGGAACTTATTTATATCTAATTAAAATACATAATGTTAATTTTTTACAATATAATGCATAGAAATTTGTAGCATAAATCTGAACGGTTAGATTTGTCAATAAATCAAAATATTGAAGTAATTAGAATGACATAAAAACGATCAATTCATAATCGGCAGATTCTAGGTTCGAATTCTAGATTCTAATTCTCATTATTTTGATTTACAAAAGGAAAAGGGGTGACATAAATTGTTAGCTAGTTTTGGAAATAATAAATTAAAAGTAAAATGTTAAAATAATTATGTTAGATTATATTCACCATCTGATGAATAGCCAGTGAGTCCTCCAAAAATCACAAGAACATAGTTGACATCTAATTCTCTCATAATTTCGTAAGCCTTTTCCTCGGAACTGGCCATTGCCTGACCGACTCTTGATATGTGCGTATTATTCCATGTATTATTGTCTACTAAAATAGTACGATTTGCCATCGCAGTTATCTGATACCCGTAATCCCACCAAGACATTATCTTAGCATTCTGAAAAGAAGATGAAATGTATAATTTGTTTTAATGTGCATTTCTTTTCCATTTCAATTCCACATGTTCTTTTTTATTTTAATATGTAATTTTCTTTTTATTTAATTTTCTAACAAACTGTTGTTCAATATACCACTGTCTATTTATATCTATACTTTTAGATAAAGACTTGAATTTACAATCTAGATATTTAATCATTTGCATTTGAAATAACTCAAAAAAGTGATTAACAATGCTTACCTCGGGTGTGTTCATACGTAGCCAATAATATGCTTCTCTAAAATCGTCAAAAATCATCCGTCCACCATCAGGCGACCGTGCAGACAATACAATACTAGGCGAGCTATAAGCTTCTGCTGTAACCCACGTACAGTGAAAGGTATAAGACAGGAAGAGTATAGACATTACTATGATGAAAAATGAGGCGATCTGAAAATATGTCTTTATTTCTATACGTTCTTAATTTAATGTTACTTTTGCTGTTAAATATCTTATCTTAGATATATTTATTTCTTTTTAATACTAGAAACTTACCTCACTCCTCAAGATATAATTACTCTCGAATTTCTTGGCTTTCTTATCAACAACTTTTCCACTTTCAACTTGCTTCATGTACGTAACTAATAAAGAAGACGCTCCAATTCCACCCAAAATGCACATTACTGGAGCAAGTACTAACATTAAACGTACCATCACTCCCTAAAATATTAAATAGGCATTATTTAAATAAGTAAAATATGTAAAATTACAATATAATCTTGTACACTTTTACTTACTGCAAAATATAAACTAGTAACTCCATACAAAATTAAGAAAATGTTCGAGTCGGTTAATTTAGAAAAACAGAAGTATAAGCCTGATGGAAACAAAAATACAAGTATCTGCAGATCAAAGTAGAAGGAACTCCATGATGTTGGCTGATGTTCCGAAACTGAAGCAATTATTGGAATATGATTTTTTGCATAAGATGGATCGAGCAGGGAATAAAAGCGTCCAGTCCATGGTGATATTTTTCCTTAAAAAAATTAAGCAATGTGCATGAGAATATTGTAAATGTGAAATAATACGTCATATATATATATATTAAATAATGGATTTAAAAAATATATGACAAGTACCTGTGATGGTTAAAATACCACCAACTATACATGACGTTGTAATCACCACAGCAAGCAGAGCACGGAATAATATCTCAAACTCCTTTTGAGATAATTTACTCCGCAAATAATCTACTAATGCGTGAATTTGACAGAGGCCAAAAACACCCAATGCCTAAAAAAAATGGACGAAATAAAATTTTACACTTCGAGTCAAACACTGACATCCACTTTTTAATAATATCTTACAAATATTGTCACAACTTACAAGCATGTGCTCGGAACTCTGAACAGGTTGAAAACCAACAAATGAGATCTGCATAGATAAAATGGTTCCTAAACAATACAAAATACTATATGCGATGTATATCCTGTGAGAAAATCTGCCAGTCACCATCAATGTCAGCACATGCAATGGAATTAAATTTATTAGAAAGACATATCCGCCCCAAGAAGACACCATATAGAAATAAGCCAATGCGGCGCACGTAGCCCAACATATCGCTCCTGTTTTCACAGCTTTAATCCACATGTAGTATGTAAACAACATACAAAAAATCGCAATGCCTTCATTGTCATAAGAACCTGCGACTGACCGAGATATATAACCAGGTACAATCGCAATCATTGCAGCTGCAAATAGGCCTGATGCTGAATCCTAAAGAGATAAATTGAACATGAATAGAATGCTGTTACACCTTGCTTCAAAGAAGATAATGTATAATCAATAAAAACATAAACTATACCTTTAATTCTTTGGTAAGCAGATAGGTTATAATTGTTGTTAAACTTGAAAACAATGGAGCGAGGAAGACACAAATGTTGCGTATATCTAGCGTGATATTCAATAACCATGAGATACGATATAATGCTGCAGAAGTTATCATCAAACCAGGATATATGGTTCCTACAAAATTAATATTTAAAATATTAAATTCTTCCTTCTTTTTTCTGAGAAAATCCGTGTCAAAATTTGTAAGTACACGATCAATACCTCCTATTATCCTGCCAAGTGGATACCAAACGCGATCATCAAACCAATTGTGAAAACTGTAGAATCCATTTTCAGCTAAATATTTTGTGGTGCGATAATTGAAGTACGGATCAAATTCATGAATGACACTTTCAAATCTTAGTACTGAGAATAAACGTGTTGCAAATGCTAGAAAAAATATTATAATACAAAGATGATTGAACGTAACTAATTAACATTTCTTTATCTGATAAATCAAAGTACAAAGATAATAAACCTACATAAAATTGCTGCTAAAGAAAGCACAGTTAACTTCAAAAGTGTTTCTTGCTTCTGCGCCGTCATGCGTAATCCCCTTGTCTTTAGTAATGTCGCCATGTCAATGCAGAGAAGTGCACAGTAATTTTAAATGAAATAAATCCTGTGTCTTACAGCATCAATCTGCAAAAAAATCAAAGCTCCTTTAAACCACCCTTCCTCCATATACACTTGTGTGTTGATATATCCTAAACAACTTGCATTAGGTACTTTTCAACAAGAGACACAGATATAGTGTAACACAGTAAATTATTACGTCTTATTGTTTGCCAATGTTAAATAAAGATAAAATAATCATTGTGTTACAATGTAGATGCTTTCGAGCAACAAAATAATCATATACTGTATGACACAATAATACATAATGTTGACTTATAGTTAAAACCTTGCTTTTTATTTCACTGTCAAAGTGAAACAAAAGAAGATCTCGTACACTTGTGTCTAAATATATCCGAATACAGTCTTAAAATCTTATATCAGAATATTATTCTTAGAAAGATAAATGGTAATGAAATATAAAAATTTGGTATTCATGAAGTGATATAAGATAATGATATAATCAAACACAGTGGTGCTTTTTTACAAGAGACATAGTGAGACAATACAGTGATCATTTCATCTTTGTTTAACAATGATAAACAAGGATGTAATGATTCTGTATTATACCTACTTTGTCATCTGTATTTCTTGCTAAAAAGCACCTAGCATTTTAATTATGTACATTTGTATTAACTTTTTTAAATAAAGAAGACATCCATACATTAAATGGAGTAACAGTTTTATTTGTTAAAAAATTTTTGCGCACTTCCTTCCACACTAGCTCTCGGTAGCCTAGATTATTTTTTATTTTAAAGAGAGAGTCCTTGGTAACACATTTATTTCCTTGTATTAACTTGTATTATAGTTGGAAAGCATCCTCTAGCTCTTGCTGAAAAGTACCATATGTCTAGATTTCTTTTTATGATGTCCTTTAGATATCTTTCAGATGTCTCAAAAAACATTTTTATGTCTTTTATGTATGCATGCTGTCTGAGTGCATTGCTATTGTCAATTAGAGAGGTATTGCGTAATGCACAGTAAGAGATAAATCTAATTTTTAAGGGACAATAACAGGTAGTTCCATATATCTAGCTCTCATGCAATCTGAACACATGTCCGTTACTACTCGAGGAGGTTATAATGCCATCGACAGAAGAAAACACCGAGCGAAATGCAAGCGACGAGCGTTTCCGTTCTGAAATAAACACACGCTCCCTAATTTTCGAGTGTTTGACACGCCTCTAACAACGCACATGCAACCGCAAACAATGCCGGGTAGATTCATCACTGACCACGTACACAAAATTACCGGCCGGTGACATACGTATACGTCGATTCGCATATTTTACTCTTCCGTATCGTATATATGTCTAAACGATGTGTCAACGGCTTCCGAAAGTTCGGGAGAAACTTACGAAATTACTTTATACAACAAGTGCGTAAACACAACGTGGCCATTTAAATAATAACAGAAACGCCAGACAATTTGTTCCAAAAGAAAAAGTCATAGATTACGATCTACATACTCTGAAGATGATCAAACGGCTTGAATTTTGAGAAGATGACTTTAGCGACATCTATAGATATCAAATTAATCAAATCCTTTGACTTGCCGATCATTATTACACAATGGATCTATTAATTAAATTATACTGTACATCCTTCATATTGTCTCCTTTTTGTTTAATAAATAAATATTAATTTTAGAAATTTAAATTCTAAAAAAATATAAGTATAAAATTATTATTTATAGCTAAAAAAGAAACGATTAGTCATTAAAGTTCCAAAAGTTTCTTTGAAATAACTTTTAATTATAATAAATTTTTAATTTGAAAGATTAATCTGTGGAAATTTAATTTTTCAAAAATTAGCGAAACGTTAAAAGAATATAATATTAGATAAGATGTGACAAGAAATGATAAATAAATTTTTAAACATTGTGAGATTTTAAGAATTCTTAAAATTTTAAGTTCAACATTTCGTATAAAAATCTCCGAATTGACGGGATCAAAAATCCTTTTATAGTGGACGTAAAATTAAAAGATGGTGCAGTGGACTTTATACTAACTACACTGCATCACCTCGTAACTTTGTGTCTACTTTAAGTCTATAAAAGAATTTTTTATTTTGTTCAGATAATTTGGAGATTTTTTTATACAACTGTAATGTCGATAATTTGGTCACTTCCTTTTATATAAGCATCCTCTTATATAAGATGGATTTAAAATAAAAAACCGACTATGAATGTCGACCATGAAATTATATTTTCCCTGGAAAATGTTTCTTAATTTTTATATGAATTGGAACATTTTTCAGAAATACTCAGAAATATTCGGAAAGTTTACATCTTCTCTCATAATTTTTCGTACAAATAAATTCTGAAATATTCTAAGATTTCTCATCCCATAATTTTTGAAAAATATTTTTAATTTTTTAGATTTTATAACATTTCATCAGAAATTATACTTACGATTAAAAAATCTTAGAAATCTTACGATATTTCATAATTAATATATATGGAAAATTCTGAGAAAAGATGTAGATTTTCTGAGAAGTGTAATTCCAATTCGTATAAAAAATGTGAGAAAGTTATAAAATTATATAGAAATTTTAGAAAATTATATGAAAAATTTTGAGAAAAATCAGGGCTCCCATATTTTCTATAAAACACATGCAGTTATTGTATGTAAATATTTAAATACATGCAGCCATTAAATATTCTCACAATTAATGTAATTTTATATTTAAACATTTGTGACGACACATACAAAAATTTGCTATTAAAAATTTTTTTTCCTTACATATTGCACTTGTAAAAAACATAAAAACAAAGTATAAAATTTGAAAAGTAGTAGAATAGAAGTAACTCATACGCCATTTTTTATGGCATAAGTTGAACAAAGATATTGTCTAACGTCTTATCTTGACATCAGTGTTCGATGCTCCAATTCACCCCATGACTCGTTCCCGCCAGACCAACCGGTACCGACCGGTATTTTATATTTTATGAGATTTATACGGTTACATTGCACTTAATTACAGTGTTCCGTTACTTTCTAATTTGTTCTGTAACGTCGTTTCTTAACGTGTGAAAAAATGTCTGAAGGTAATAAGCACTTGAATGTACACGCGGCAAATTTAACCTCAATATTTGTAATTTTGTATCGTATGACAAGCTTAACCTCTCAATTTCTTAATACAAGTCTTTAAATAATATCGAAAACAAATCTCACGAAATCAAATCGTGTAATGATATATTCTAATTAAGAATTAAGGAATTTGTATTTCTCGTAAATTAAAACGGTATTACATATGTTTATCCGAGCCTGCTTTATTTACGGATAAGATACATTTATTTACAAAAGTTAATGCATATAATAATAGTTATACATATAATGATATTAATTTTATATATTCTATATTAATAAGATTTTATTTATCATATATATTTATGTATTTAATATATATTTCAATATTTACGACTATGATCATATTTTTAAATCTAAAAAAGTATTTCTTATATAGATAGAGCAGCAACAACAGAAGATATGTGGACTCCATATAAAGAATTGCAAAGTCTTGTTGAGAAGTATATAATATCGGTCCCTGATGTTCAAGATCCTCAGTACCATGAACTCACAGAAGCTCTGCGAAATCACAGACAGAATTTTCTTACTATATTAAAGAATCCAGTAAGTGTCCTTTTTATTCTTGTTATATATTAAGTTATTGTAATAAAATATCAAAATATGTGTAATAAGCCTATATGAGCCAGCATAAGATGTACAGGTGTAAATGATATTTTATTTTAAATATAAATAAGTACATATATTGTTTATGTATTTATTTATATTTAAAATAAAATTCATTTGCTTTTGTATATCTTGTGCTGGCTCGTATAGGCTTATTACACATATTATAGATTAATTTCATTTGAGCCTGTATCAAGAATTTTTAAAATATCAAAACTAATATTAGGGGAAAAAATATATATTCATATATATAAATTTAAAAAAAATATATAATATAATATAATAACGTTACATATATTATAATGCTAATTATATGTATATATTGTTAATTATATTAATATTATATTATTTACATTTTAGCCAAAGAACATGAAAAGTCGTGAGGAAATTAAGAAAGGAGTTACAGATGGTATAACTCTTCCTGGTTTAGGTCATCAAATATTATCAAAAGAATTAGTGGACGAAACTCTCATTATATCAGATATGTATGACTTAAACGAGTTTATGGCGTTGGATCTTCTCTGTACGGCTCAACTTCAAATGCCACATCATCCTGGTTTAACACGTGGTTTAACAGCTGTTCTTCTATATTACGATGGAAGAAAAGCATTGACATCAGTATTAAGAACCTTGGTGCATACTCGAATTGGTCACAGTTGGGCAGTGGATGCACCGGTTGCTCTTACAAGACACATTACAGATTATACGAATAAGTTGCAAGAGGATGGCCTATTAAATAGGGTTTTATCCTTGCTAGAGGAAATGGATCCTACTAAGGTATTCCATTAAGAAAAAGATCTTAATAAAAAATTAACTGATATTTTACAATTTTTATAATTTGTTAGATATTTGGATTATCAAAATGTATTAATCTCTCAAAATAATTTTAAATAGGAACAAGATTTACTGCAACAAAATAGAGCATTAGGTGGAGCAAAGCACCATCAAATGGTTATGAAACTTTATAATGACACACGACAGGACCTGGCTGATATCTTGTACTTATGGTCTGCTCAATCGTCTCTTCCAAATATAATTCTATTTCGTTTATTATCTATATTGCAAACACGTCAAGTAGAATCTGAGGCAGGTGAAGGAGGACCTGACAAAGTTACACTTGCACTCATTATGGCTGTTTTGAATGCTTTTAATTTTAGTTTCTTACATAGTCGTGAAAATGGTGAAGGTACAATATATTTTATTACCAGCCTGTTAACTTGAAACTTATATTATAGTGAATTATAATTTATTATTTTTTCAGAATTAATC